ACAATGATTGTCACGATTTTCTTACAATTACATTATAGTGAATTTCAACATTTTTCATTCATAAAGGCATAACCGAGTTTTACTGTGTAAACTGAAATGAATAAAATAAACATATTTTAAATTTCTCTTTGAGTCGCTTTTCGATGTTCGGTTGTAAGATATAGATACAATGGCAGTCTTTTGGTCCATATCTCCTGTTAAGCTCCTGTCAAAAACTATATCTTTTATGGGTTACGCTGGCAACAACTCAGTTCTATTTCATTTTTCTCAAGGTCTCTTAACCCCAGATTGCACTGAGAGGTTGGGACTTGAGAGACTTTAAAATTCTTCTGCAATTTGGCCATTATTTTACGATCGCTTCTTGTTTTTTGGTGTAGACTAACAAATCTAGCATTTATCGTTTTTCACGGGGATAGAGACACCCAGCCTCGTATTCATACAGGAGATTACCTTAAAATTTTTTTTTACCCATGTAGCGCAGTACTTCATACGGCTCCGGCAACTTCCGTGACACAACGCGCTATGTTGATAGGAGAAACCCTCCAAGTTGTTTTGGTTCTTTTTAGGAACTACTGAAGACTTCCTTCCGAGTTAATGTTACAGAGCGCACATCGATTTCTAAACGTGTATTTTGTACGCGCGTTTATAAAATTAACCTACATAACAATTGGGACACGTAGATATATTTTTTAGCAACTACTGTAATTTGCAGTCTGTCTACTTTGATTTCCTTTAAATATACATTTGCGTGCAAGTCTCAGGGTGTGAGGGAGGACGGGGGGGGGGAAGTCCGTGAGAATGGAGGGCGGGAAGGGTATGTGAGTCATGGGAGGAAAGGGCAGAAGTAGGAGTTCTTCAAAGGTAAAGAAATAGGGGATAATTTCGCAACAATGCTTACTATTTCGCAATCGAAAAGGGTTCAAGGAAGGAAGTAAAGAGATAAGGGGGCGGGAACCGGGAATGCAAGGAACGGAAGGGGGACGGTTTGGACCCGCTTGTCCCCCTCCCCCCAGTGAGGAAAAAACCAAAAGACGCGCTCCTGTAACTTTGAGGAGTTTAAGAAATTGTACTTGAAGAGACAAGGCAGGCAGAAGTGGCGTGTAAAAATGTTCTTCCGCTTCTTGTCTTGTCTTTATAGTTTCTTATTGGTTGCAACCCTGCATGTGATTCAGTTTTTTTTTCTGAACATGACACTGCAATATATATAAACTCCTCACGCTTACACTATATACTAAATCAAATATCGTCTACAAAGGAAGTTTAGAATAATAATTGTTTTGTAAATGAATGCTCTGTACATTACTGTGAAAACATAGCTTCATCACATACTTTTTTTTCTGAAAGTGGGTAAATGTTCATGTTTCAATTTGGGGATTGTATTAGTTGAGTCACAGTTTCTTGACCTCTTTATGTATTATTTTTCTTTCTCTTTTTTCTCTTTTTCTTTTCCTTAGTTCCTGTCTTTACTGATATTTGAACCGCGAAAATTGTTTCTAAGAAATATTTCCAACTAATAATTGCGCAAAACTGGTTTCTTGTCCGAATCATTTCGTTGTCGACGTTGTCAGTTTCTCTGCTTCTTTAACAAGAAAGGAATTTTCAATTCTCATGCGACATAATGCAAACATTGCGTCTACAAAGAACAGATTAAATGGAGTGGAAAATTTGTTTTGTCTTTAAGATGTGTTGGTTACCGTGGAATGGATGAAACCACTTTGGCCGGTCCATCCAAAATTTTTCATATTGGAATCCCAAAAAGCCACAGCATTCGTAATCCGTTAAGCTGTGGAAGATATGAGCTCTCCTAAAAAGTGTAGTGCCCTGTTTGTTTGTTGAAAATGAAACGATCGAAAGCCGATCAAGTTTGTTTTGAGAAAGTTTGGAATGTGATTTACCGTCCAAACAAATTCGTTTCCATGGTATCCCTGACGCACTCCTCTAATTTCATGCGGAGCAGATTTACCTGGTGCATAACTTTGCATAATTAACTTTATGAACTTCGAATTTACTTTTTATTGGTTTCCAGCGTTCGTCTTTTNTCCTAAAAAGTGTAGTGCCCTGTTTGTTTGTTGAAAATGAAACGATCGAAAGCCGATCAAGTTTGTTTTGAGAAAGTTTGGAATGTGATTTACCGTCCAAACAAATTCGTTTCCATGGTATCCCTGACGCACTCCTCTAATTTCATGCGGAGCAGATTTACCTGGTGCATAACTTTGCATAATTAACTTTATGAACTTCGAATTTACTTTTTATTGGTTTCCAGCGTTCGTCTTTTTTACGCTTAAAGATTCACAGATAGTTAAAAGCCAGGAAAGTAAAACAAAAGAAGAATGATCTTATTCAGATGACAAATGATTCACAAGTACGTTCTGGAACGAGGTTTACGTCGGCCGCCGGCTTCGAGCTGAGCCCAAGACTTTCACATCCGAAGGAAGACTTTATCACGTTGTAATTTCGAGGAGTTTTGCATGAATACCCCAACATCTTGCATTTAGAACAGTTACAGAAAAGCTGTTAATTGCGTGAAACCTATGGCCGCCAAGAATCTACATTTGAAATCGTGGTTTGAGGTTTTGGCGCTTATATCTCTCTGCTTCCCTTGCCTTATATTCGCCAGCAGTAAGTACCGTATACACAATGAAGTCTGCTGAAAAGGTGCTTAATCACTTTGTGAATACTAAAAACCTTTTTCTCGTCTAGCTCCATGCGATTGCTCTGTTTGTGGGTCGTCTTGTAGCGGCAATATCAACTGCAATCCCGGACAATTTCTCGTAGTAAATGGGAGCGAGTTTGGATGTTTCGATTGTCCTACTGGCCATTAGTAAGTACTATATTCGCCACGATTTCCTCGTTTTTATATCTTGAGAGTAGAGTACTTAGATCTTGTATTGTTTAAGAGTACCCTTTAAGTCTGATAATGGCCTCTCTGGAGCTTACGATACAGGCAAGAGAGTGCATTATCCAACGACATACAACACGGTGGTTATATTTATGGCATTGTGTATTGCATAAGGTTAAAATAAGTAGAACTTTTCAAGATATTTGTTTTACAGAAACAAAATGATATTCTTCTCTTTTAATCATCGAGTTTTGGGAAAAAAAAATAATAACCCAGTAAAAATCTTAGAATTTGAAACTGGATGGATGTTTATTAGGAAAATGTGATCTCTTGGTTTTCAGTAGAGGTCCTCTTATGGGAGTTACGTATGTCCTTAGTCTGAATTCGAAACCTGTCGTCACGTATATTGAGGAGGAAGCTATATATGTCACCATTGGTATTTTACTACTGTAATTGTGCTTTTCTCTGTCACTGTCGCAGTTCAACCCATCTTTGTGTTGTTTTTTGCCATTTCTGCTGCTGTCCTGTGACGCTCTTTCAAGGCCTGGATGTCACTTGTCGGAATTTTATCCTTCTAGGGTTTCATAATACAATATTGAATGTATATTGTAGTGCTTGTGAACGGTAAATAGTGGGTTTCGGTAAATTTGTTTTGATGAAAGTGGATTCTAAATTTCTCCATATAAAATTGTTCCACTACACTGGTATTGGCTATGATCACATTCATGTCATAAACACTAAAGGACATAGAAAAAAAACTGCATTGTTGGCTGTTATAATGTACAGCTGGTCATTGCTGTTGTTGCCAAAATTCGTCAGTTTACAATGTATGCTGTCTTGTTGGGTTAAATTCTGGTAAGAGGCATGGTCGTGAAACACAGACACTCTAACAGATAAGATGGAAAAAATGAGACCAAGGTGGATTGAAACTGTGATAGTGACATAGACAAGTGCAAATACAGGAAAAGAATAAAGTCTTGTCATGGACATAACTTATTCCTCAGTACAATGAAACAAAGGGTTTTGAAATTTAGACTAGGAACAAGGGTACCCCCACCCCACCCCATAGAGAGGTCTCTGTTACATGTATGGTCTTGTGAAAGAGACATCATTTTTTGAATTGTTGTGTGGTGGCCATTAGTAACGTGATTGATATTCTTTATTATACAGTTGTCCTGGAGGAAAGAATAGCTCAAAAGCTTGTCCAGAAGGTTATTATAATGACAGGACTGGCCAATCTGATGTAGGGGACTGCCAGGTAACACTAGTATCTTTGCTTTCCTATTCACCACTTTGGGAAAAAAACTTTGGAAATGGGAAGACTTTTGAGGCTGTTACTAGGGACAGAGAAAATATTGGCCGACAGCTGTCTGGGGGATTCCCAGACACATTTCAGACACATTTTGGGTTCAGTTTATAGACTGAACAATATTTTAAGAGAAAGGTTTTGACTGAATGTTTTTTGTTCTGATTTATAGGAATGTCCTGCTGGGTTTTATTGCCCTGATAAAGGCCAATCACCAAAACCTTGTGATGTTGGTTTCTATAGCAACAGCACAGGACAAATAAAATGTCTTATCTGCCCAGAAGGTTTCCGTTGTGAGAATCTTGCGTCAAAACCCACTCCATGTGCTGAGGGGTTCTACAGTGCGGAGGGAAACACAACTTGTACAATATGCCCTGGGGGTTACCAGTGTCCAAATGGTATATCTCCAGTGGTTTGTCCAACTGGACAATTTGCATCCATTGGCTCTACGTCTTGTAAGGCATGTCCTGCTGGTCATCGATGCCCTAGGCAGGGAATGTCTGCACCAGAAAGCTGCCCAGATGGACAGTACACGAACCAAACATTACAGACTGGGTGTAACACTTGTGAAGCTGGTAGGGAGTGTCCAAATGGTGACCGTTCTTTGTCATGTCCAGCGGGTTATTTCAGTAAATACGGACAGTCCAACTGTACAGCGTGCCAATCAGGGGAATATAGCACTGCTGGGTCAACAGACTGTCTTCCATGTCCTGCAGGAAAGCAGTGTCTAGGCCCTGCACTGGAACCAGTCAATTGTACTTATGGTACTTTTTCTGGTCAAGGAGAAAGTGTTTGTAAGCCATGTCCACAAGGTAAGCTTAGCTAATCAATATATGCAAATGACTTGATAATCCTTCATTTAACTTTACAAAGGGTTGATGAGTGATATAATTTTTATTTCCTGGTTTGCGCTTCAGACTGTTGGAGAGTAATTAAGTTGATTATCACTGTTGTCATATTACAGGTTACCAAAGTACACCAAGCCGTACATCATGTACACCATGTGCAGCGGGATTCTACTGTCCTGATGCAAGGTTTGCTTTGATACATGTATACAAATAAATATATATGATTCTTGTCTCACTAACTGGAATCCAATAATAGCATTATTAATGAGAGCTGCAGTGATAGCCATTATTTACTGATGAGGTGAACCTGGAGAACTATGTTTTGAATATTATGTGGTCTTTTTGTCTGGATAAC